TTCTGCAACTCAAAAGAATAGGCAAATTCATCAGATCTACTTCTGCAACTCAAAAGAATAGGCAAATTCATCAGATCTACTTTTGCAACTCAAAAGAATAGGCAAATTCATCAAATCTACTTCTGCAACTCAAAAGAATAAGCCATGGGCCTTTCACTCATCTTCTCTTCCCTCTAATCAACCGGATCAACATAGAAATAAAGCTTTTTATTCGATTCCCACAAACGGCGCCAATGTAATTGCACCAAACCAGATGATCAACTATGTAGCAGAAATAAAATTTTAATGAGCCTGTGGAAATGGCAGGAGAAGTGTCAATACAGAAATAATCAAAGGTAGAAATGATCCTAATAACTGAGTTTTTAGCTTTAAAGTTCAAACACTCCATTCGCTGCTCTATATACCATAACAATGAAAACCAGTAATAGGGTGGAATAATATACCTCTGGCATTTTGATATTCAAGTCCTCAGATGGCAAATAAATAGATGTATTGGCATCAACATCATATACTCCCTCTGCTCTCATTACAATATAACCAATTTTCTTCTGGATCTCCTCTTGTTAATACAATTAGCAGCAAATGCATCTAATAAGTATCACTTGAGAATCATTATATATATTTATATATATAACATACCATTTAAGAATCAGGCAGAGCTCAACCTTGTAATGCTAATTGATATGAGACCTATAGAGCAAAGAAATATCTACATGACATGAGAAGTAACAGGAAATTCTTTGGTCACATGGAAAATGCAGACAAAATACTGTTGAAATTATTGCTAGAAACGTGGCATTCAAATATGCTGAAATGAAACTGCCATGAAATGGCAACAATGAGGCTGAAAATTGACAGCAAATGAAGCTGCAATCTTCAGCAAATATGGCAGCAAGTTAGCTGCAAATACGAGGGAAATGAAGCTGTCAAATGACAACAAAAATGTGCAGCAAGCTAAGCTGCAAATGTTGATGAAATGAGGCTGCCATGAACAACAAATTAAATACAAATGGAAATGAAAGGCTGCAAAGAGGCTGCAGAGCTGCAAAGAGGCTACAAAGGACGCAAGCATGCAGCAGCAAAAGTGACTGTTATTTTCAAATTTAAAGTGTACTTTTATTGTTTTTAAATGTAGAATAGTTGCTTAGATTTGAATTTTGAATTGAGTTTGTATTCTCCTATAAATAGGAGAGATTATAATGAAAAAATTTGAGTTGAAGTCATAGACTCCTCTCCATTTTATGTGTTCTGCTCTTCATCATATTCCTCTTGGTCTCCTCCCCATTTTCTTTGATAAAAAATCCCAACATGGTATCAGAGCCGTTCATGATCTTTGAGGGCCTGTGTGAGAGTGATTTGAGAGAAATCTACCACCATAAATTCCAGCCAAACCCAAATAGTTTCCAGCAAGTTTTTTCTTTCAAAATACCCCTTTTTCTGATCCAACACAGCAAACTCCTCTGACCAAAAATGTAGCAAAGATGCTGTGATAATGAAGGTTAACTTTAGGTCCTTCAATCTTTGAAAGTGGTTGACAGAAGGATGCAACCAATTTGTTAAGGCAGATAAGAGTATGTGAAGCTGTGAAGTTGAAGGTTAACTTGAGGTTAACTTGACGTCCTTCAATCTTCTTGAGGCAGAAGATTTGCAAGAAACAAGAGCAAAAGATGCTGGTTTGATGATGTTTTGTGTTGTTGGTATGGGTAGTGTTTTATGCTACGACATTAGTCCAAAAAGGGAAGGATGGCTTGTGAAGATGCAGATTGAGACCAAGAGAGTACTCAACATTGCATCAAGTCATTTTCATGACTGAGTAGCCAAATCCTTAGCCCAAGGAAGCTGTAGAAGATGAAAAGGGATGATGAAGCAGCACTTTGAGGTACCAAAATCCTTGTTTTTTATTTACTCAGAAAATGCAACTTAGTTGCAAACCTCCAAAATTTGTTTGAGGCAGCAAAATCCAAAGAAGGAAAGCTGTAATGAAGGAGGAGCTGAGGTTGTTTGAGAAGGATGGTACATGACTGAGAAAAAAAAATGGTGAAAACTGAGCACAAGATGGACAGCAAAGAGTTGATCCCTCGTGCTTAGGTATAAATCTATTCCTTTTTTGATTTTGCAGCTTTGATGCCAAGGAGGAGTGTTGGAATTATTGCTAGAAACGTGGCATTCAAATCTGCAAAAATGATGAAATGAAACTGCCATGAAATGGCAGCAATGAGGCTGAAAATTGACAGCAAATGAAGCTGCAATCTTCAGCAAATATGGCAGC